CAGCGGGGGGAAAGGCAAGGTTCCAAGTGTGGTATTCTCATTAGAAAGAAGGACTGTGCTTCTCCAAACGGCAGGAGGACATTTTGGCATTAACTCAGGAGGTGGTTTGGGTGTAATTAAGCTCTCGGGCCGGCATCTTCATTTCTGCTCCAGATCTTTAGAAAAGGCCAGCTCTTTGTCTCCTTCCCATTGAGTGTCTGTGTTTGCCTTCCGTCCCAGATTCATCTGTCTTCTTTCTCCCTCCACCTCTGTCCTCCCTCCCTCCCTCCCTCCCTTTCTTCTCTCTACCCATACTTGTCTCTACTCACCAGACATCTCCACTTTTCATACACATTCCTTTCTCTAAGCACTTGCCTTATGTTGCAGGTTACAGCTCCTAATTTTTTCTATTTCTCTAATCACCTGCATCTTGGCTGTCCATGGGATTCATACGGAGCCATCACAGCCTGTGTAACTGGTTAATTCCTTTTTGAATCTTGCTGTTCCTCAGGCTCATTAGGATTCCCGGGAATTCCCATCCCCTAAAGAAACACGTATGTACACAAACACACACACACACACACGTGTGTGTGTGTGTGTGCGGAGATACTGAACAGTGGCTGAAATGTCAACACTAATGAGATGCCAATGGTTTTGTTTTAGTCCCTCTGTTGTTTCCTTCTCCGAAATGAAGGTTTGTCCCAAAGAAACATATAGATCATATTGAGGTAGTATGAATTCTTAAGGATTTAACCATAAAAGCATTCAAAAGTGCTTTTGGCAGGCTGATACGTGGTGAAAGTGGATTTTGATGGCAAATACTTAAGGTCAGGGCTGTGAGCCTGGTTGCCCTGGGAGCATAAATGAGTCACAAATAATATAAGTAAATGGCAGCAAACAACAGGCCTCAGGATTGGTGACAGCAGGGTGGGGACTGGGGGCAGGGGTGAACACAAGCCCTGTCCAAAGGGGGCAGCCAGCTGATTATTGCCACGCCGAGGAGGGTCCTGTGCCTCCAGATCTTCTGGTTCTTCAAGAGAAGCCAAAAACCCCCCAATTTTTTTTTTTTTTAATAAGACATCTTCTGACTTCTTTTAATATTGGCAGCTAATTAAAACTCAGAGCTTGGTGGAGGCCAAACACATCTCTTGCTGTAGACACAGGTAAAATTCAGCCAGTAGAAATCAGCTGGCAATCTCTGCTCCTAAAAAATACAGGAGGAAAAAAAAATAGAAAAAAAATATGTATAAAGTGAAGTTCTTTCCAAAGGGCTCTGGTAATATTTAGAGGCATTCAAGTGCAAAGATGTGTTAAGGCTTGGGATAGCTTCAAGTATGGATGCCAGGCCTGTTTCTCTAATTATTTTTTCCTTCACTTCCTTATCTACGCCCACCTCCCCCTCATAGCTCAGGACAGGAGCCCCACCCCCAACGTCACACCACCTCTGCGAAGGATGGACCTTTCCAGAGAGTTTTGGGACCCCAAGCGCCAGCACTACTCTGATGTCCCAGGCAGGAGAGATTGCTGAGAAGCTAAACAGACGCTTGCTGAATTTCATGCTGTAGTTGTAGGTCATTAGCAACCAATGGGTCAGAAACTGCTGGTACAGAACACAGTTGAGGGAGGGGCGGTACTGGGGCATCATGATGGTAGTCATCCTTGGAAATGTCTGAGACTTAGCTTTGCTGATGGAGAAATAGTGACCCACCTTTTTTGCCTCATTTCCATGGCTTCCTGGTGAGTAACCTTCCTGTTTTTCTGGGCAGTGAGTCTAGCTTTTTATAAAGGTCAGAACTCCATACTTAAAAAAAAAAAATGTTGGGGGACTAGGTCAGAGGGCTTGAGGCCAGAATTGCATTTCTCTCTAGAGGCTCGTGCGTATGGTGCTCCCTCCTGGCCATGGACTTTGGACTGGAGTTCTCCCAGCTCCAGGGCAAGTGCAGTGAGGGACAGGAGCCTCTGCTGTCCAATTCCAGGCTTCTGTGCTCAGAGCACCTGCCTGAACTACATCCCGGCTTTTGCTTTAAACCTCTTGCAGCTCCTTCGATTTTACTGGAATTATAGTAGCTCATTTACTTAGAGTTGCAGGAGACCAGGCAGAAAGCCCCTCGATGGTGTGGTCAAGGAGATGCTGAGAGTTTTCCCACAGCTGTTCTGTCGTATTTAAAATAGAACATTCAGATCTGACTTCAAGCGGGACTTACCATGTAGCAGTGTTCCGCTGAGGTCTGTAAACGTGAAACTTGTAATATTTCCCCAGCGTCCAAGTGTCAGGAAGCAGCATGCCTGGGCAGAAAGGCCGTGTCCACATTTGAGCAGTTCTGGGTCAGAGCCAGCCTTCCCAAACGGGGTGCCACCTGGCACCAGAGTGCAATTTGGGGAACTTTCTCCATCGCTCACCCGATTTCCTCCCTCTCCATCCCCGGCCGCGGTATGACTGCTTCCCAGTGTCTGCGAACTCGCCTCTCTGTCCACATCTCTCCATATACTTGCCATCCTGACTTACCTTCCATTATCCGAGTCCCTTTTTCCCCTACCTGCTCTCCCAGAGGTACTTTCCCGCCCTCTGGTAATAGTATGATTCAGCTGAAATTTTTAATTTAAAGTTCCATGGTGACTCATGGCTGGATGAAATACAGCATGATGACTAGTCCTTCTAGGGACAGGCATTACTCAGGGGTATTGTACACCAGCTAGAGTCTATAGGGTTATTCTTTCTGTGTCCAGTTTGTCTTCTGGAAAGAGTTAATAGCTAGGTGTGGTTTTCGAATCCTCTTCCAGAAATCAAAAGTCACTCAATCTGATAGAAGAAAAATCCAAACAAATGAGCATTTACAGCCAGGCCACAGTGTTAGCATTTATCTTGATAACAAGGAAAACTTTTTTTTTCAAATTTATTATTGATTCTAGAATCCTGGCAAACAGAATGATCGGTGAGTAAAGCTCTTAGGAGCCAAGGAAATCCCAAGATGGTTGGAAATGACCTGATTCCATAATGCATTGTCCCCCTCGAGCAGTTTATCTGCCTAAAAGGCAAAACAAATCAGAACCTTGACCGCAGTGTTCATGGACAGTGCATCTATGGGCCTTTATCCTGTTCCCCATTTGTCTTCAAATAAAGTACACATAGTTCCTGATTCACAAACATAAGTTATGTATTTGTTCATTTGTTCGATAATAAGCCTCCAGCAATGAATAAAGCAAACAGTTCCTCCTGTCTGTGGAGCTTATTGTCTGTACCTTTGGGCCCTGCTTCAGATCTTTTTGGGAATGAGGCAGGATGCTTCTTGAGAAATAAGCTTATTATAACCCCCTGTGCTGGTCAGTGATTCCCCAGGACCTCCCCTCACAATTGAGAAGATTCTGGATTCCTGTTCCTTTGTCTTGCTTCTGGGCCCCCATTCCCTGCGATGAGGCTCATTGTCAGTGATGGAGAGAGGGCCCGCCTTCCCAGAGAAGTGGCCCAGAGGATGGTTGCTTAGCCCCAGCTCAGCAAACTTTCTGTAAAGGGTCACATAATAAATAATTTAGGCTTTGCAGGCCTCTGGGTCTCTGTCACAACCATTCAGCTATGCCTTTGTGTCACAAAAGCAGCCATAGACAAGGTGTAAACAAATGGACACAGTGGTGTGCTAATAAAACATTATTTATAAAAACAGGTGACAGACCAGATTTGGCCCATGAGCCATAGTTTAACCCCCGGTTTAGCCCCAAGTCTCTATGTAGAGTCAGATCCTGGTCCTGCCATTTATTAACCACATGACTTCCCTATGCACGTCCTTCACTGTAAAGGGGAATATTAATAGTATTTACTTAATGGTATTGTTTTAAAGATGAAAGTAGGTTGTCATAAGAAATTTCCTAAAAGCAGACTTTCATACAAGTGTTTTATCATCATCCTCAATATGTTTCATTGCAGAAACTGGGCTATAGAGGGCACTTTTTTTTTTAACTTCTGGAGCTTCCCCAAAAAAAATTTTCATTCTTTCTTTTTTTTTTTTTTTGATGTTGAAATCGTGTTCTAAATGGTGGGCATGTTCTGTGTCCTGTGGTCCAGCCACATGATGAAATAGAAGCATATTGATGAAACCTGATGGCCATTTATAATATTGTTTTTATGGGGAAATAGATCTTCATTTACATTTAGATGGATGTCTGGTACATAATGTGTGGGCGAATTGGGAACTTGGTGTAACTGGCAGTGGATCAGGTAATCTGGATGAAGCAGGAGTCGGGGGGGTAAAAGGAGTCTCAGCCCGAGGAGTCAGTGTGCACTGACGTTTCTCAGCGTGGTCGTTTGACAGAGGGTCCTGAGCAAAGACTCGAAAGTGAGCACATCTGAAAGATGTGTTACATGAACCCCACCAAGAATGAACCCAAGTATAATCCTAAGCATTCACCCAGAAATGGAGCCGTTGGTTTGTTAGTGATGGCGTTCACAGGAAACTCCAGCATCTCTGTCGGTGTCCTAATGCGCTTTGGATCTTTTACAAAATCTGGGATTTGAATCCTTCGCCTCTTGAGCTATGCCTAGGGAGTTATGCACAGCGTTCAACTTTCCAGTTAGAAGAAAAGTATCTTCTGACCACATCTTTTCCTCATTTAAAACCATTCCAGAGGATCTTCTTGTCATTTGTCCGTCTCCATGGTTATTCATGAGCTTGAGCATGTTTGTGTTGTGTTTCATCAATCTGGTTAATTCTTCCCCTGAGCCATTTGGGCCACATCTACCCCCAGAGATGGGATGGTCCTAGAATCAAGAATGAGGGAGGGTGCCAGGGTGGCTCAGTCGGTTAAGCATCTGCCTTCAGCTCAGGTCAGGATTCCGGGGTCCTGGTGTTATAGGATCACAGCGTTCTTAGCTCATGAAGTCAAAAAATGAATCTCACAGACGCAAAAGGGTGAAGCGAAGTGA